ATGTGCAGTGCATTTCAAATTTTGCAGCTTTTGCTCTTTATGTGTCCTTGAGATTTCGATTCGTTCATATTCACATTATAAGCGTCTTCAGTCTACTCTTTAGCGATAATCAACGGGAGTGGAGGAGGTGGTAATCGGATGGCGCAAGGTTAAGTGAATAAGATGGATAGCACAAAGTCTCCCACCCAAGTCAGTCTATGGTATCCCTGACCACTCGCGTGACATGCGGCCTGGCGTTGTCATGGAGGAAAAGCACACCTTTGCGATTCACCAGTGCTGGTTCCTTCTGGCGCAATTCCTGTTGCACACGTTTCAATTGCTGCGAGTATAGGTCTCCAGTGGCCGTTTGGCCCGTTGGTAGCAGTTCATATTGAACCACTTGAAGACCTGTCCACCAGACACAAAGCATAATCTTGGGTGGTTGCATAGGCGGTCTTGCCGTGTTAGGGACAGAATCCTGAGGAGACAACCAAGTCTTACTAATTAACCCATAGGTTGGGGTGAAGAAGCGGATGCTTACGTTTCCCAAGTTATTTGCGCGTAATTGAATATCACAAGTCCAACGAGAATTTGGACACTGCTCTCCTGGCAACAATTCAATATAATTATCGCGTAAACCACAGGAACGCCAAAGCTTGCATCACAGGATATTTCAAAGCATTCCCCCATGTAGGTACTGAGCTGGCTTGACGTTGCTTAAATTCGCTGGAACGGTGTTTGAAGATAATGTTAACGTAATCTTTGTATATATATATATATATATATATATATATATAATTTTGTACATTCAACTGAAATATACTTCAGGTAAACGCATGCAAAGGTTGAACATTTAAATGTTTAATTCCAATAGCCTTTAGACAGAATCACATACACTGTATATTTTAAATATTTCTGGTTATTAAAAATTTGCCAATTGCCACGATCATAAACCGATTGTTAAACGTTCACAATATAACATTTCTACGTGTTGTGGCTACGATCCACCCAAAGAGGTATATTGAGAAACAGCTGCTACCTATGAAAACAAATACGATCAAAATATTTCTAAATATTCATAGAATCAAATATATTATGTAAATATATAATTTTATTTTTAATTCTGAGAATCATTTTATTTGACATGTTAAAGATACAGATATCCGTAAGGTGACCAGTCATAAAAAGGATATATTAAATTTTAAAAGATTGCATAGAAAAATGATACATTCTTAAAAGATATCGGGTTAAAAATTAAATGAATAGATAGGTAGAATAAGATAGAAAATGTATTAGCCAATCTCCAAATAAAGAAATGATGATATTTAGAAAAAAGTTTTGACAAAATTCAAATGCGAATAAGAAATTTAAACTATATATTTTACACAAAAGTAAAATATTAGTTGTCAGAGGATATATTTTCTGTGTTTATTACTTGTAGCTTAAATTAATTAATACACTCTGTTCGTTTTGATTTCCTAGTTGTTTCTAGCCTTCCACTCTTGTCGTGTCTCTCATATTTATTACACAAAACGGATGTTCATTGTTCGATGACCCAAAGCAGCCTGTGTTAAAACATTTTTGCGCATTGGCTCCACGCATACATCCGCTTTGCCAAAAGAAATTTAATATTATATTGTGACCAGTTAGAGCTAATACCGCTCAAAAACTAAGACCTTAATTTTAACATAAATAAAATCTGTATAGCCCCAAGCTCAAATTGACTCAATGCAGAATATGGTTTGATGTCTACATCGAGACGCTAAGAGGGAAACTCCACCGACTACAACGGCTAGCACCAATGTCAAATTTTATTTCTAATTCCACACGAATCCACTGTTGCCATAGCAATAGCATCAGATAGAAGTAACCAGTCATTGTATATATATATATAAATAAATAATACATTTATTTATCCCATACTCAGCGTCCTCTTTTGTTTGACGCATGAATTTGTTGAAGCGGAGAAGGAAATAACCTTCACAACAGTAAAAACAACATTTAACAATGTTCTGTCTTCTCGGTCACTCATTTACATTTATTTTAATCTTTTTCCTCAACCACTTTTCTGTTTGATTTCCAGATTCGGCCATTTTCGCAGTTTCGCTTAGATTCGATCTCCACATAGTTTAAAAAATATGTATTCCTTCCTAGATCAGGAAGAATGAAGAAGGCAACATAATTAAAAGAAATAGTGCCATACATCGAAACAAAAAAGTAAGTTAAACCTACATACATACATAGGTTTCTAAAGAAAAATTTCTTTGCTCATTTCATTCTACAAGAAAATGACTGAGCTCCAAACCATTTACAACGGCAGCACTTCACGGCGTTTAGGTCCCATGTATACAGAGTCACGAGAAAGTCCCTGTAGAAACATTAGCATCATCAAGGGTAGTGTGGTTGAGGGAGATATTCCAGCATCAAAACGCTTCGAAACAGTCATCCACGCCACATTTTCTTTCGCTTCCCTACAGAAGAATAAATCAGCTGCTCTTTTAAATGAGCATCAATATTGACTTGACAAATGACAAAATAATTTCCATTAGATAATTTGAGTTGTTTTTATTTTTAATGAAACGTTTCCCTTGATTGTGACAAAGGAAATGTGAGCCAACATTGAGATAAAATATACAAAAAAAATTTTTCTATGGTTTGTTGATTTATGTAGAGCTACATTTGATGGTTTAGAGCTTGTATCAATATGTGAATAATTCACCTAACAAAAATTACAAAACACCTGTGAAGCTGTTCTACAAAAGATATCAAGAAAACATATGACCCAGTAGAATACGTTAAACAAGCATCACATTCTTCGCAAGAATTGGTAGAAAATATAATCATTTAGTAACTATAAATATGTCTATTCTTTGTGCATACATACGAATGATATATGCACAATTCAGAATCGGTATGAACTACAACTATAATATTCTAACGGGTTACGCTTTGTAGGATAAAATCAAATGAGTGTTAACAAATGAATACCAGAAATTTAAACCTTGACAATTCTTTTGAAAAATAATTTTTAAGCTTTTTGCTGAAAATTTATGAATGATCATGAATTATTGAGTGAAAATACAAGAGGAATATAAAACCCAAGAAGATTCTTCAACCCACTTAATGATCTCAGGTGATATTATCTAAGATTATATTAAGTTGACATGTTTATCAAGAAGTATATTATAAATAAAAACAAATAATTATACTGCCATGGTATATTGTCCATAATTAAATTAAAATTAACTATAGCGCCATAAGTAATTATAGTAAAATAATTATAATTATAACAAATATAATTATCATTAATTCACTCATTCTAAACCAATGAGAATCGACTCGACTTGTCACCTCCATACAAAGGAAAAAAACGTGACATCCTCATTATTGGACAAACATTCACACGGACAGGTCCTTAACACGTCCTTTAACGAAAATGTAATTTCTTTTTTGTTTTCAGTCTATAATAGTAATATTAACATTTTAGCACCCAATAGAAAATCGAGACATGAATACTCTAGACGCTTCTATTTTTCTAGACAAATTTCCTGGACACTCATGAAAACACCTATAAAAAAAATACAAGGTTGACTGTATATACCTTATTTATTTCTTGATCTTGTCCTTCTGTTGGACTCCGATCAATATTTGATCAACATTTGACATCAAACGCACAATTTCACTGAGTTTTACTGTCGCATATGCCACCAACACCAAATAACAACCAGTTAATAAATAATAATCATTTTGTTTTTTCTCCGTCTTATTGTTTCCCATATTTACGAGTTTTTGGCAAATATAAATTTTAGGGGGCTTATGATTATCTAATCAGAATTATAACTCCCCTACAAAAGATCATTTTTTTTTCAAAAATATAGATCTTAAACACTTTATGTTCAGACTTATATTTATTCGTATTAAATATATTCATAATATTATCTACTTGAAATGATCAGCATTTATTTATACAAAAAGTCTATCATGTAACATTTAACCGAATATATTTGTTACTATGATTTGTTTTTCATTCTAAATATTTAATTAGTATTTTAAACTTTAAGATCATTGAATTTTTAAATTCTTTCCAACAGTTTTTATTGCTGATCATTTTTTAATTTTTTTCTGTTTGTCTATATATTTATATTTTAAAATGGACCAAATTTCTTAATTTTGACAAGACCAATAACAATAATAATAATAATCACAAACGTATAACAGCTTCACAGTTGTTTTGTAATTTTTGTTAGGGGAATTATTCACATATTGATACAAGCTCTAAACTAAAGAACATGTCCATCAAATGTAGCTTTACATAAATCAACAAACCATCAAAAAATTAAAGTCGGTTTTCATGTATATCATTGTCAAAATAACACGTTTCTTTTTAGAGTTGGCTGATTCATTCACTTGTGCTTGTTGTATGATTATGCTTGTTGTATGAATATTATTGTTACGGGACCTTAGCTATAACAATATAATGGGCTATTCTATACGTAATAAATACTGCGCCTCAAGAGGAAACAGAGAGTTCAGTCTGAAGTTTGAAGTGAGGTCCGTCAGAAGTCTGTCAGTCAGTCAGAGTGAGCGAGTCAGTCAGTCGAGTCAGAGGCAGTCCGAAACAGAGTCGCGTCCAAATAATTTCTACTAAACCTGATTGTTCGTACTAACACTTTTCTACCTCTCTGTATATATTCCTGTTTGTAATATATCTGTGTTATTCCATATCCGTGTTCGAGTTCTTCTTTATTGGATCTACCTTGGACTATCACTGTGGTACAAGGAACCGGACCATAACAATTATGATTGGCATTGGTTTTTCTCAGATGTTCATTAGTGCTGAGCAATGCTGGTTGTGGACGGTAAGGCACGTATATGATCGGTGGTAGAATTAGGGTGGTATATGATGTTGGACCGTTACTATCTGCACAAAGTCTTGCTACTCAGCCAAGGTTGATGTCTTAGTAGTGTGTGACAAAACTCTATACTTTGACTTATTTGTCGGAATTGATGGGAGAGCTGCATTATGTGGCATCCATATCACATAGACTGGAGCCCCACGGATCTGTAGCAAATGAACACCATGTGCGGCGATCTACATTGTCCAACGTAAATTTTTCTGTGGAAATATACCAACAGCAAATGATCTGGACTGCAAGATATAAGTGGACAGCAAATGTGGCGCCATTCAGTTGCGCAACAGTATGTCAGAGTACTCCATTTCAAAGTACTTTAACGATGGCTATGAACAAGAACTTCAGACATGGGTCACCAATGGTTAGCTAATAGTATACCCCGAAAAGAAATAGGGAAACCCAACAGATTAGTGCCATTAGTGACCTTCGGGTAACATAAAAAGAGAAAGTTGCACTCAGTGATGAATTATCGAGAGTTCAGCGAAAACATTGACGCATTCACTACAATTACGCGCATTTGTTCAGTTAAACTGAGACAGTGGCGGTAACAAAGTGCAAATGTGGCTCTACGTTACTTGCGAATTGCGTACCTTCAATTAAACTTTCCTGATTTACTGCGGACATATCAAAACCTGATGATCAATTGGAAGTGGTTGTGCCTAACGCTGTTAGGATTTGTCAAAACTGGCCATGAATTCCATTATTGAAACAGAGCGGTTTCAGGAAGAGTCAGCCGGAAGAGCGATAACGAGGTCCATTGATGATGTGTATGTCAATGACAGCATAATGTCAGCAGAATGTCACGCCAAATTGGCAAAATCCAATGGTCTAGAATGTTTAAAGGATGGGACTCTCGTGCTTGAATCGGAAGTCTTGTAGAACGTAACGCTGTGTTGGACGCGACGAAGAGCGATCACAAATTTTAGGACTTGGCGGAATGTATTCTCATTTTTCGGAAATTTGGTGTGTGTGTGTGCGTGTGTGTGTGTGTGTGTGTGTGTGTGTGTGTGTGTGTGTGTGTGTGTGTGTGTGTGTGTGTGACTGCGTGTCGGTTCATCAAGCGGCGGAAAAAAACACAGTCATGCGGTGAGCAAGTTGATGACATCCACCTGAAGCAGATGGTGAAAGAAACCGTCGACAGGGTGTGACATGATTAAACCTTCCTACGGCGACTGTGTGAAGGGATCTGAAATAAACTCCCTAGCCAAAGGAGTAGTGCCGGAAACTGATGGACCAAACACTCAACAACTTGGGGGTAAGCTACCTAATTTTTTCTGGAAAGATGTGTCCGATGAAATTTTCTTTAAGAATTTTGTTTGGGTTCTAATGAAAGCAAAAATTCTAAACGCTTTTCTTTTTTGATCTTAAACCCAAGTGATTGCGATAGAAAGAGACAGTGATTGCAACAGAAAGATACAGAGATGCGACAGAAAAGGACAGCGACAGAAAGAGACATTGACAGAAAGAGAGTGATGACGACAAATAGAGAAAGGTCGACAGAAAGAGGCAAACAGACAAACACTAATAAACTATTAAACAGGCAGAGTGATAGAGAAAGAGGCTGATAGACAGGAAAACCGAGATATAGACAGGCAGATATGCTGATAGAATTAGAGACAGGCAGATTGATAGAACGAGATACAGACAGAGACGCTGATAAAACAAATGAGATAGGGAGACATATTCACAGAGACAACCATGAAGACTTTTAGATAGAGAGGCAGGCATAGAAGTAATGGAACAGGAAGGCACTGACAGACTAATATCAACAGAACAAAAAGACTGATAGAGAGACGAAGACAGAAAAAAAGAGTGAGAGACAGATAGATTGATAGATTATCAGATCGACAGCCAGACAGCGATTGAGAGAAATAGATAAAAAGAGAGATAGAAAATCGGATAGACACATATATAGTTTAAATCTGAGAGGGAGAAACAACAAGAGAAAGTGACAGAGTCAGAAAGCGACACGTGCATACAATGAAACAAAATGAGACAAAGAGAAGAAAAAAGATAAAGACAGAGAAATCAAAGAGACAGATAGATAGATAGATAGATAGATAGATAGATAGATAGATAGATAGATAGATACGCAAACAGGGATAGATAGATAGATAGATAGATAGATAGATAGATAGTGAAAACAAAGAGAAGGTTATAGAGAAAAGAAAGCGATAGCAAAGTGAAAGAGAGAAATAGAAAGTCACAGAGACAAAAATGAGGTGTAGAGAGAGAAAGAGGAACAGAGTGAGACCGATAGAGAGGCAGATAGACAGACAGACAGCTAGCTAGCTAGCTACATAGATAGATAGATATACGAACAGAAAGACAGACATGTAACAAAAAAGAGATTGCAACAGAAAGAGAAAGAAAACAGAACTGGACAAAAAGGAAGATACAGACAGACCATGGGACAGAGAGAGACAGACTGACTGTTAGACAGAAAAACAGTCAGACAGGCTGATAGAGAGAGATTCTGGCTACTAAACACGCAGACTGATAGATAGGAAAACTGATAGATTGTTCCTCATATGAAATAAAATATACTGTTTAATAAAAAACCGAGAAAATACTGGTATTGCCTTAAATAAGTTTTATGTAATAATATATATGCGTGTGTGTGTATGTATGTGTGTGCGTTTGTATACGGACATCAGAAGTAACTGCATGATGACTATTTGCTTGAAGTTTCAATGCGATATTCAATGTTATGTGAATAGCGATGAGTTGTGTAATTAACAGCAATTATGCATTGCTAATTCTTATTGTCCATTACTGTTAAGGCTCTTTATAAGACATTCCGCACTTATACACGACAAATTTTGGAATCTTTAAAAAGTATTTATTCACAAACACATACACAAAGACGCAGGCATCATTTATGGAGGCGGCGGTGAATGAAGTCGGGAGTGACATTATCCTCTCCAAATTACATCTCCGATTTCCTTGTACACATCGATGTTTCTTGACACTCACAGATGCGTGATTCAACCTGCTGTTATTTTACGCCCATTGTCTTAAATTAACGTTAAGTAGGTTTATTGATGTACTTAAAGTAACAATATATTGTGATGATCCTCTGTATATTTTTATCCAATCGCAGGTACAAATATTTTCTGATTAAGAAAGCAAATCATTTCGTCTAAAGGTTGTTGATATATTGGCTAAATCAGAGTAATGATTTAACTGATTTTTCATTTGATGTCTTCACTATGGGTCAGCTACTACCTATAGAAAATATCGCAATAATGTGCACTTCTTACTCTTATCTGTTCTTTTTTAAATTCCTATTTCTAATTCAAGTGTTTCTAATTATACATTTTATGTAATATTATTAGCTGTCTTGTATCTTTTTATTATTGATTTTCAACAATATTTTTGAAATATTTGCAGTGTTTACCCAGCAGTCAATTTTTCTATTCAATTATGCCTTTCTGTTTAGTTAAAGACAAAAATACAACACTTGTCTTTTCATCTTCTATTTACTTGATTTCGCAATTAAAACCGTATACTTGATATTTCTATGTCTATCAATCTATCTATCGATCTATCTGCACAGCTATATTCATCGAATTTAATAAGAACGCCAGATTAAATATTTTAGGCGTAAAATTAATGCGTATTGTGCTGTTTCTTATTTTATTTTCCACACACACATACACACAATAAAAATTAATTCACACCACGTGTATCAAAAAATACAATTGCGCGGGAATTCATTCCTTACCATGCCCTGTGGGGTCAAAAACAAGGACGGCGCTACACATAGTCCTACCTTTCCCTCTCACATTCCCAGTTCGTTTCTTTCTCTTTTTCTTCCGCAGCTTTACGGACAATTTCATTTTTGTACAAGGAAAAAATAATTCTTTACAAAAATAAACAAAAGTTTATTTTACTTTATTTGTAGTGTATTTTCTTTTAATTATTTGTTTGAGGGACTCCTTTGCACCCTCTACAGTATTAAACTGTGGATTTGTGAATTAACATCGACGTTTAGTTATGTGGTTTACGAAATTTCACCAAACGGAGATCGCCGCTTCAAAAGAACCAGAGATAGTATGACATTTTGTTCTTGTAATATATATTCCACTGCCCAGGTTGTGGCACGCGTACACATCCTGAGCTATTTATATGCCGTGTCTCGGCGAAATGTCTGACATATAGTGAGGCGCTAATCAGCAAAATAGACAGTGAAATCGCGATCCTAGTAAATTAAAGGTCATCAAAGATGAGTATCTGACGCCTAAAGTTACGTATTGACATGGAAATCGATAAACACATATAGTCTTACCTGGCGTGACCCACAAATTCTATAGAGAGAAATCATGTCTTGGCTCCACTTGCCGGATCTTCCAAGATATATCTATCAAGATTCACACGCACGCACACACGAACACACACACTTGTGTGCGTGTGCGTTTGCTCGTATATATATATATATATATATATATATATATATATATATATATATTGTAAGTAAGTTTTGGTTTAATTCAGCTATTGTTATTTTTGTGTTATTCAGTTCCAACGGTCACTAAAGGTAGCAGAGTAATGAATATGGTTGCTTTAAAAGTGAACAGGGAAGAGTAAGTATTGCAAATTATGTTGATATTTCCCATAGCTAGTAGCTGGTATTTATTGTAGTATTTACGATAGTAGCAAAAGAGGAAATATCATCTCGGGAGTCTGTTACCTAAAATCAATGATCTGAGGGAGAATCTGCCTGAGCAGATTCTCTTCAAGAATAGAATACGTAGGTTATGAGGATGTTGACCCTATGTACGTTGTATGGTTGAACATAAATCTGAAGGTCTAAACATGAGGAACTAGGAAATGTAGCTTCTCTCAACATTTTCTCTGAAAATAGCGATATATTAGTGAAATGCTGACAACGGTTCCTCTGAGAGAAATAGGATTCAAGGCCGCGTTTAGGATTGTGATCTATCAATAAATAGCCAATAATGATTGTGTAGCTTCATACTTTATATGGCATCAATACTCAGTTTTTGTCTTATCTGACACTATTAACGATAGCACATAGCAGGAGTCAAACACGTTCTGCTGCAGTAAACGCTTGAGTCCTAACAGAGGTTCGTCGAAAGAATCCTCATATAGATTACAAACGTTCATTAGCACTAGTAAATTTACGGTTTTCACGGTGGTGATGACACGCTATCTTTTTTGTTTTAAAGAGAATGAATGGTAAAAAAATATCCGTCTTTACCCTACTGAATAGTGAGAGGTAAGTCAGAGAAAAAACAGCTGTAGTCTCTGGTAATCTAAACTTTTATATAAGTGCTTGTAAAATGTACTTTCTTCTGCATCATTGTGCTCTTCGTAAAAGTATTTATTTTTTTTTTCTTTTAGAATTTACCTCATATATTATGATCCATCATTAAAATTTGTTCTTTATTTCTTGTTAAGATTTCTATGACATTCATTTTTAATTACACTTTACATTTTTCAATTAATATTATTTATTCCTCTTTTACATCGAATTTACATATCCATATTCCAGTTTCTCAATTCATAGAAAAGTTAATTTTGTCACTCAAATTTTTCATGTTCGCTAATTGTTCTAGCATCCCCAAGTTTCATCAGTAATTAAGAAACTAATAGATTGGACAATGCAGCCAAATATATTATCATATTATGAACGTAATCAAGTTGTTAAAACAAAAATTCGTCTAAATTCTTTGCCCAATTTTATTGTAATGATCTAAAAAGTTACACGTCTCCAACGCCGTTATTAATTGAGATAATTTCAAATAAATACCTTGTGACAAGGCTGACTTATAGTAGTAAATTTCCACCTAACGCTAATACTACATGATGAATTCAATAGATGAAAGAAATATTCAGGTAATTGTTAACGACAATTTCCAAAGTAATGTTAAAAATCTTTTTTGCGGGTAAGGTATAAAGGCTACACATTTTTTTTTAAATTTAAACGAATATGGGAAAATAAAGAAGTAGTGTATTACACAATACATTTTCCGGGAAGCCCATATTAGTCTATTCCTCGCAGTCCCACATCCGCTTGTTGGATTTCAATCCCACGGTGACAGGGAAGATGTACTACCTCCGAAGACTCTTCAAACCTTGCTCACGCACTGTTGGTATCTTTTCACCTGCGAATGAAAACACTTAATGGATGAGAGAACCTCCCTTCATAGACAGTGACCTGCTTTTTTTCGGTTTGAAGGCCATCTGACTACATTCTACCAACGCTTCAAGTCTATCCAGAATCAACTGTGCTATTTTCTTCTCATCTTGAAATATCGTCAAATCATCCATAAACGCCCGGATTTTGACATTCTGCAGATGCACATAAATTATTATTATTATTATTATTATATATATATATATATATATATATATATATATATATATATATATTATATATTATATATATTTATATATATATATATATATATATATATATTAGTGTGCATATATATATATATATATAGAGAGAGAGAGAGAGAGATTTATAGTCATTTTGGAGGTGGTGGTAGATGTGGATCTCACGACTGAAGGACGGGTCATTAGGTATCGTTCTTTGGAAATGGAAGACAATGCCGAGGAGGAAGTTCAATTTTTTTTAAGATCCTTCTCTTTAAGTTTTTCTTTCAATTGATGAATTTTCTCAGTTTTTTCACAAAATGGTTCATACTTCAACTTATGTTGACGAATTATATCCGAATTTCTGGTAGTGGATTTGCCCTTAGAACTGGTAGAGTGAATTGGACTGTCTGTGCCGTTACTCGGAGGGGCTTCAATGAGAAGAGAATACCCTGCTTGTTGGCCTTACTAACAACCTGTTATCCCACTTTTCTTTCTCCGCAACCGCACTTGCGTAAGAGAAAAGCTTTTCAGAGAATGGGGGCCATGAGACGGACCCAGCCGGAGTTTTCACCACGCCAATCCTGGCTGCCGGCATGCCGATAACAGGCGATAAGGAAATAGTCGTCCAGAGGGGGATTTGGCTCGGCTGGAGGTAGAACTCAGGCCTTCTTCTCTGGTCACCTCTCCTCTTCTCTGAGGATAGGTGACCAGTCTCTCCAGACTTCTAGCAATTTCGTCTTCGGCCTGTGAATATGATATGCTTTTTCTGAACCTCTACATTTAGGCAGTTGGGAATGTGTATGTATACCTTACGACCCAACACTTTCTTAAAGCTCCATCTCCCGATTAGATTGACACAGATATGTGGCCAATTGTTCTCCGGCAATCTGAGGCGGGATCCCATATTCTGCTACAGGATCATATGCTTACATTTATGAAGAACCCATCTTTTGTGACAAGATGAGCGTAGCTCTTGGCTTTCCCCAGGAACTCAGTGATGTTGATCTTATATTTGGTGGGGACGTTCAGCAAGAGGGCTTTCTTCCCTAACGCTATGTTTTCGTCTTCATCGTTATTGTCAATATTTGATTCAGTCGTTTTGGGTGAGTGAATTTTGGCCTGCTGCGTCCATCATAGTATCCCCAGAAACATTTAAATTTGGCAATTTCCAGCCACCATATTTTCAGTTTTATTTTGGCCATATCGGGCTATCATATCTTCATTTGAATTTTGTAAATTTCCGGCCACAATACTTTTTTAGGTTTCTTCAATATTTTTAAACATCTCCGTAATTTCGTCGGTATTTGATTGTCGTTAATTTTCCTTTTTTTTAGTTCCAAATAATTTTTTTTCTCACCGTCTTTTTGGCGATCATTTTTTTCTTTTAAATGATTTTCTTTTTTTTCTTTTTAAACAGATAATAAATTAAAACGAGAAGAGATAAGATAAATCAAAATTTCCTTCGATCATAAGGAAACAAAAACAAATTTAGCAAGATAAAACAGTAAGACGTACAAAAAGATTGCTTACAAAATACAAACGTAAGTCAAAGGAGAAAAATTTAAACATATTCTTTTTAAAAGCCAAAAATTAATTATACGATAATATACTATATATTGTGAATGTCCCTGTAAAAACTAAGACTCTCACGTTGATAAACTACAACGAAACTGGAAGATATTCACTATGCAGATGACCCGGCTATCACTAAAGACAAAATTACCAATGCTACAATTCTCCTACATCATCTGAAAAATGCTGCCAACGATGTTGAACGAAGTCATTGCGTGGAAAACTGAATTCGTATGTTTCAACTAGCATTTCTCAATATAAACTGTTTCAGGGAAAGAAGTAAAATTTGTAGAATCTTTTACATACCTATGAAGCAAAATAAATTTTACTTAAAAGGATATGAAAATTCACATAACTAAAGAATGGGTTGATTTGAATAAAATGAATACAATTTGGAAGTCTGATCCACCAGACAAACTCAAACGGAGATGCTTTCGAGCAAATGTAGATGCGATGTAAATGTATGTTGCCACTACCCAGATATTAACTAAAAACCTAGCGTCTAATCTTGATGAAACCACAATCTGTTCGAGGCAAAACCCAACTAAATCACAGCTCTAAAGGCCCATCGATTATATTTCTAGAACGTTAAGCAACCGCAAAACGCGCTTTGCCGGACATTGTTAGCGACGAAATTAAGAACTTGCCAAGGATCTAATGCTCCTGTAACATACACAGCGCAAGACGGCTTGCTCTCCCAGAGACAACCTGCACTGACCATCTATGTTATGAAAAAGAATGTCACTTTAATGACATACAGAACTTGATGAAGGACTGCAATGGTTGGCGTGATAGATTCAGGAATGTCCGAGCTAGTCCGACTGATTAAATATAATAAAGAAACACCATATATACTCGTTTGGAGTACGAGTTTTTATGGGTCACAATAAATATACTTAATTCAATGGGTCGCACTAAACACTGTCAATTCTTTTTTTAAAGATGTTAAAAATCATGCATATTCGCTGAGCGTTTCAAGTTTACACGGATCATATTTTCTTATGACTCATGCAAAACCTCAGTGATTGCCGTATACATGTTGTACATAAATTAATTATTAGCCTCTATTTCAATATCTCTGTAAGGCGACATTCAATTCGAGCATTGTTTCTTTTACGCAAATAATTCTTTTAGCTTCTTCACATTTGCATCTAGCGATACATACATACATACATACATACATACATACATACATACATATATATATATGTGTGTGTGTGTGTGTGTGTGTGTGTGTGTGTGTTTGAGAGAGAGAAGCAGATGGAGTAAAATTTTACTGTTGGTAGCATTGAATTTAAAAATTTATCTTCATCCCTTTTATATTCCAATAGTAAAGCGGATGTTAAACCCATACAAACTCTTTGAATTAGGAAACAGTTTCCCAGAAATATTCTCTCCCAATCACTA